TGTGGTCGGAACAGGACAACTTACAGTTAATGACAAAGCCTAAACTTTTTATCTTGTTTGTAAACATTAAAGCACTGTTACCAATAAACAATTCAGGGATATTTTCAACATGCACTACACTATTACATATTGGCAACACAAAGGACTTAGAAGCATTTAGGCATAAATAGTTATCACTTTCCCATTGCGATATAGCAGACAAATCACTATTTAGTTTGAAACACAAATCCTCAACAAGACCTACACGACTGGACAAATACACTTGAATATCATCCATATACGCATGTAGGTTAATATACTTACACACTGAGAACACATCATTGACGAACATACTGAACAAAAGCGGGCCTAGGACAGATCCCTGCGGGACACCAGCTGACACAGCTTTAAAACTAGAGGAATCATTCTTTGTCTTCACTTTTTGTAGCCTACCCTCTAAGTAACTCCTCATAAATGTTAAAGAATTATCAGAAAAACCAAAATAATGTTGAAGTTTCTTACATAAAATATCGTGGTTAACCGTGTCAAATGCCTTAGAGAAATCTAAAAGGCATAGGAGAGTTAAATCACTGTTGTCAAAATGTGTTCTTATGTCATCCAGTATTTTCAACATGGCAGTGGAGCAGCTATGCTTTGGTCTAAACCCGGACTGTAGTGGAGATAATAGATTATTGCATTTGATAAACGCCGAGATTTGCACTCAAGGACTCACATACTTTTGCTAGTGTTAGTAGGGACACTCTTCTTGGCTACTGGGAGTATGACGGCTCTTTTCCACTCCGCAGGAAAACATGATGTCGTAAATCAATGGTTAATAATGTGGGTAATGGTGCCTAAAATTAACGGCAGCACAAGTTTGACAAATTTCAGGGAGATTCCATCGTCACCAACAGCATCTGATTTAATACCCCATATAGCTTTTGTTCGGAGCAGCAGCTGGAACCTAACTAGAAGAAATTCATTTACATCTTACCTATGTGCACTGCCCTGCGTGGTAGTTAAAAACTAGCTTTGTAATACCATAACTTAATATTCCTTTAATTTTTAGTACATTTGGCCACCTTAATCTTAGCACTTGCGCTCAATATTAGTATCAATCATTCTTGCAGTTTTTTTTTCTCACTTGCCTTTTCTCTTCATCCTTAGCTGCGATATATGTATGTACATATGTACATCCATACATAATCATATATTCTTTTTGTCACTCGATTTTGGACATTAACTGTGAGCAGTTCGATTAGGAAATTTAATTGTTGTGCAACTATAGTCACGGCCACGTACCATTTGATTAGTAAGAACATTGTCTCTAAATAAATTACAAATAAGTTAAAAACACAGTGCGTTTAATGGTTTTAGACATTCATAGCTGCAAAAAAAAAGATTTGTAGCTCAACATTTTTTGGTGACCCCGACGTGATCGCCGTGACAATTTAGTTGTGCAAAAAGAAAAACAATTCAACAGACATTTAGTTATTTAACAATAATACTTGTTGTGCTGCGCGACAACTTCCATTCTTGCTGTACATATGTATTTTCGAGCATAGTACATACAATCCGTTCTTTGTAATCACCACTGTGATTTGGAGCAATTGTGGTGTGATTGTTAAACGGTCAAAACTGTAACTTTGCGTACATACATAGCCCTTGGCTAGTACATATAATCCGTTCCTTGTAGTCTGGATGGTAAACTTGCGAGTTTGTGGCGTGATCATTAAACGGTTAGGACTGTAACGTTACATACATTCATCGCGGCTGTCGTTAGCATTCTGCATCCATCGCTTAGCAGTTTCTATATATTTTTGCATACGTTTGCTTTATATTCGTTGCGTTGCTGACAAAACATCCACTCAAGTTGTTCATCTCGAACCTTCAATATGCCGCTTAGCCCAGCTAATGGTACTGCCATCGGGGAAGGTTCATCAAACATTGCCCCAGCGAGTGGGCAAGTGTCTTCAGACCGAGTGTTGTTTTTTGAAGTTGAAAACAATGTCCCTATTCAACCGACTTGAGCGAACAGCAGCAGAAATGGACACGGAAAAGCTCCAAGGCATGGATGAGTACGACTTAGCAGCAATTGTCGAATTATTAGGTGAATTAAGGGCTAACTATAATATGAATAAGCTAGCGTATGCAAACGTGCGAATACACATAAATCCTATTCTGAAACTATAATGTGCTTAACATCAAGTTTCGTCAAGTTTCGCCAAACGTCATTTGCTTAAGGAAAGAGCGATACTGCCCGTACTTCCGTACGGAATCAGCTGTTTGTCCTCGTACGTATGTATGTACATATGTAACACATGCAGTGTTGCCGCATTGGCTTTTTCCGAAATTGGTAATTTTTTTCTTTGTTTATCATATTTGATAATTTGGTAACTTATTTCTCAACTTGGTAACTTTTTCGATTCAGTCCTACATGTAACACAGGTCAAAAGAAGTTCTGGTTCCATATTAGGAAGTGGGCCGTAAGCGGTTTCCTTTTACAGAAACACCAGATTATCCTGAAATTTTCGCAAGGCGAACAGTTCTTCGGCGTTTCTAGGTTACTATAATTGTGTGATCTACAACAAACTGCTTGATAGTGGCTATTGTTATATCTAATTAAATGTGGCAACACTGAACTCATGTAAGTAAAATATAGCCACCTAAAAGTCAACACTACGTTGCTTATGCATTTGACAGACTTTTCGTTAATTTTCTGACAGTCAGTTACGGCAGCTTATGCATATTATAGTTAGCCCTTTAAAATCAGCCTTTACTGTCGCTCACACCAGTTTGGAGGAACTAGATTTCCATTCCATCCCAGTGTTCTTCCCTGCAAATTTGATTCCACGGTAACAAATCTTAAGGCGAACCAGCAACGAGAGATTGGGAAACATACTACATCCCACCACTGCTCGACATTCAGAGCGAACGCCGGCGATTCCAAGTCGATCATCGTGAATGCTAATCCTTCTCGTTTGCCTTTGCTGACGTTACCTAAATTTAGTGGTGCCTGCACTGAGTGGATGAACTTCCTTTCGATGTTCATCTCTGTCATCGACAAGGATAGCGAACTAACGCAAACCGATAAACTGCAGCATCTTCGTTCCTGCTTGAGTGGTGCAGCACTGGATACCATTCGATCGCTAGAGATAAACGAGGCTAACTACAAAACTGCGATAGAACTTCTTAAAAACGATTTGATAACAAAAGACTTATGTTTCAGGCACACATCAGGGAGATCTTTGGGTTGGATAGGGCAGGCACATCCGTTAGCAAGCTACGAGAGTTGATGGACAAAGTCACTTTGCATATACGCGCGTTGCAATCACTTGCGTCCAAGGAACAAATCGCAGACTGTATAATCATACAATTGGTAACTCAGAAGCTGGACAAGGCAACCCAAGCCAAATGGGAGGAGAATTCTTCGAGCAACGAGCTGCCGTCGTGGGACCAGTTAGCTGACTTTTTAGAGAAGCGCTGTCGCACACTCGAAAACGTAGAGCATGCCATGGTAGAGCAAGGATTTCTGGTTGGAAAAAATGGAAAAAACGTGAGTACCAATCAAAATAAATCATTTCTTGCTTCGAAAACCTCTGCGTGTGGTTGCGTATTTTGTGGATCGGCAGATCATCTCATTTACCACTGTCAACGGTTCGCAAATTTATCGCCAAACCTTCGTCAGAAAGAGACCAAGAAACTTTCTCTTTGCCTTAATTGTCTAAAGGCGGGTCATCAGATGCGAGATTGTAAATCTGGATCTTGTCGCAAATGTCAATCGAAGCACCACACACTTCTACATTTTGATCGTACAAATATAGCTTCACCTGCAACTCGAGGTGCGGCTTCTCAATCAACTACAGCTCAATCGAACGCAATGATTGCAACGTCGCCTGTCCTTCCGCAAGCCCTTACTTCACAATCTCCATCTGATGCTGTGTTTTTAGCCACTGCGATAATTCTTGCTAAAAATCGTGCCGGAACTTTCGTCCCATGCCGCGCACTGTTGGACTCCGGTTCCCAGCCGCACTTTATTACAACCCGTTTCGCCAATCAATTACAACTTCGTAAAACCAAATCCTCGGCTGCCATTTCGGGCATTGGGGATGCCAATTTCTCCACAGAGGGTTACTCGGTCGATGTCGTTCTGAAGTCGCGGACTTCCGATTTTTCTACACGTATTACAGCCGTTGTTGCGCAAACAATCACTGAAAATCACCCTAGTTTTTCGGTGGTCACGGCGGACTGGAACGTTCCTTCAAACATTCAACTAGCTGACCCAAATTTCAACTTACCGCAGCGCATTGATTTGCTCATCGGAGCAGGATTGTTTTTCGAACTACTTTGTGTGGGGCAGATTCAGTTGGCGCCCGGGCTGCCAATACTTCAAAAAACTCTACTGGGCTGGGTGATATCCGGCGGTGGTCAACAGTCTTCAAAGCTCTCGTCATTTATTGTTAACAAAAGGTCTTCCAGCTGCGAATATTCCAGCACTAGACTGGACGATTTAGTACGTCGTTTTTGGGAGGTTGAGCATGTTTTCGAACCAATCGTTAGGACAACTAAAGAAGAGCTTGACTGTGAGGCGCACTTCAAAAATAATCTTTCGCGTTTGCGCTCCGGTGAGTACTTAGTTCGACTGCCACTGAAGCTCCCTCCTGAGGCATTAGGCGATTCATATCTGCAAGCTAAGCGCCGTCTCGAAGGTCTTGAGCGGAAACTAGCCTATCCTCAATTGAAGGCGAAATATTCGGCATTTATTCGGGAGTATCTTGACCTCAATCACATGTCGTTGGTCCCCAGCGCTTTCGTTCAAGAGTGTAAATAATTCTTACCTCATCATTGCGTCATTAAAGATGATAGCTCCACAACAAAGCTTAGAGTCGTATTTGATGGTTCTGCTTCCACAAACTTTGAACGACTTACTCATGGCGGGGCCAACGATTCAGCCCAAACTCTTCGATATTCTCGTTCGATTTCGCTCATTTCCCGTTGAACTCACCTGAGACATATGCAAAATGTATCGGTGCGTTCGAGTCGCTGCACCCGATAACATGCTGCAATGCATATTGTGGCGTAACTCGCCAGAAGATGAATTCAGCGTTTATAAGCTGGATACAGTTACATATGGAACCAAGCCAGCAGCGTTTCTGGCCATACGGGCAATGCATCAGCCCGCCTCGGATGAGTCCTCATCTTACCCCTTAGGTGCACAAATCGTTATGCGCGACTTCTACGTAGATGATCTGATATCTGGTGGAAACACGGTAGAAGAAGTACTCGAAATCAGGCATCAAACGACCAGCCTCCTCGCTCGTGGCAATTTCCGCTTACGGAAGTGGTGCTCCAATAGCCAGGAGGTCCTGGGTGATATCCCTGATGCTGATAGGGAAAGTTTCCTGAAATTTGATGACGGTAGCAACATCACCAAAGCGTTGGGTCTTGAATGGGATCCACTCAAGGATAGTTTCTTGTTTGCTTTCACTCCCCGAATTGCACCTGACAGAAATTCCAAACGTTCTGCATTGTCTGCCATAGCTCGTTTCTATGATCCACTTGGACTTATTGGTCCGACTCTAACCAAGGCGAAAATTATTCTGCAGCTTATGTGGAGGGACAAACTTGAGTGGGACGAGAGCCTACCGCAATCGCTTGATACAGCTTGGTCTGCGTTCTGCAAGGACTTCGTCGACGTACATCACTTATCATTCCCGCGTTACATCGGAGTCACACATGAAGTTCACGCATTTTGCGATGCCAGCCTCGAGGCATACGGCGCTTGTATTTATGCTCGCTCAATCCAAGATGGCAACATTCAAGTTCATCTATAGTGTTCAAAGGCTCGAGTCGCCCCATTGAAGACACTAACTGTGCCAAAGCTAGAGCTCTGCGCTGCTGGTTTACTAGCGCATTTAGTAGCCGAAATCGCAAAAATGAAGGTGTTTGATTGCTCCTTTTATTGCTGGTCGGACTCGACTGTGGTGTTGTCGTGGCTAAAGGAAGTACCCTCTAAATTCAACGTGTTTGTAGCTAATCGGATTTCTAGTATACAGCAACTTACAGAGGGCATACAGTGGCGCTACGTCCCTACAGCCATGAACCCAGCGGATATTTTGTCTAAAGGAGTTGCGCCTGCTGAGCTGTCACGTTCAACGCTTTGGACCCACGGTCCTCCATTCTTGCAGGTAGCAGAGCACGATTGGCCAGATATCACGGTGTCCCACACCAAACTTCCAGAAATTCGCCAAAGGGCTCTGGTGACTTTTAACGATAGAATCGACATCTCACTATCTTTTAAATACATAAACTCTTTTAGCACGATGCAACGCATTTTTGGATACGTGCGTAAATTTTTAAACATTCGCAGATCGAAAGCAACGCCGCATCTCACCTGTGAAAACGTTCATCAAGGAACTCAACTTTTAATTCGCCTCGTTCAAAGAGCGCGGCTTTGGCCAGAGTACGATGCGCTGAAGAACAACAAAAGTGTCCACTCTTCGAGCAGCATCGCGTCGTTGTCACCATTTTTGGATGACCTGGGAGTTATTAGAGTTGGTGGCCGACTAAAGCATTCAACGCTCGGCTTCGAAGCACGACATCCAAGCATTCTTCCAAAGGATCATCCTTTAACGTTCGCCATAATTACGTATTTCCATCGCAAGTGTCACCACGCAGGCCCCCAGTCCCTTCTAGCTTCAATTCGCATGCAGTACTGGCCTATAGGTGGAAGAAAGACTGTGGCACGCGCCCTACGAAAATGCGTCATATGCTGCAGATCAAAGCAACGACTTTTCGAGCACATCATGGCGGATTTGCCAAAAGAACGCATTCAAGCCTCGCGTGCCTTTATCATCTCTGGAGTGGACTATTGCAGACCATTCTATTATAAGCCCGAAGCGCGCAGTAAATCGCCCCAGAAATGCTATATCAGCGTATTCATTTGTTTTGCAACAAAGGCCGTTTTGATGGAACTGGTTAAGGACCTTTCAACTGGTGCCTTTCTGGATGCCCTAAAACGATTTGTCGCTACGCGTGGTACACCAAGCTGCATCTGGTCTGACAACGCAACCAATTTTGTAGGCGCTAGGAACGAGCTGAAAGATTTACGACGCGTGTTTCTCAGTGAAAGGCATCGTACAGAGATTCACGCGCACTGTCTTAACAATGGTTTCGATTGGCGATTCATACCTCCTCGTTCGCCGCACTTCGGTGGCCTTTGGGAGGCCGCAGTAAAAATGGCAAAGCAGCATTTGTATCGCACTGTTGGAACTGCAATTATTGGTTTCGATGAATTGCGCACCTTGGTATGTGAAATCTCTGCCATAATTAATTCTCGCCCACTTGTGCCAATTTCAGAGAATCCCGACGATATTGACGTATTGACGCCAGGTCATTTTCTTATCGGTGGCCCCCTTACAGCACTTCCAGAACCGGACCTTACGCCTCTAAATTATAATCGGCTCGATCGGTGGCAGCGCGTTACCTATTTGCAACAAATCTTCTGGAGGAGATGGAGTGAAGAATACTTAACTCTTCTCCAGCAGCGCGCCAAGTGGCGCACTCCACAGCCCAATATCCAAATCAACGACGTGGTATCAAGGATGAAAATTCTGCGCCTCTAAAGTGGCCTTTGGCTCGCGTCACTGAAGTCATCACTGGTATAGACGGTGTTGCTCGAGTTGCGGTTCTGCGTACCTCTACTGGCATTACGCGTCGAGCAGTGAATAAGCTGTGCGTCCTTCCCGTTAAGGATTCTGTTGAAAGCCCTGACCTTTCAACGGAGGGGAGGATGTTCGGAGCAGCAGCTGGAACCTAACTAGAAGAAATTCATTTACATCTTACTTATGTGCACTGCCCTGCATGGTAGCTAAAAACTAGCTTTGTAATACCATAACTTAATATTCCTTTAATTTTTAGTACATTTGGCCACCTTAATCTTAGCACTTGCGCTCAATATTAGTATCAATCATTCTTGTAGTTTTTTTCTCACTTGCCTTTTCTCTTCATCCTTAGCTGCGGTATATGTATGTACATATGTACATCCATACATAAACATATATGTACGGTTGTGCCGAGCTGAGATTTGCATTCTTTTTGTCACTCGATTTTGGACATTAACTGTGAGCAGTTCGATTAGAAAATTTAATTGTTGTGCAACTATAGTCACGGCCACGTACCACTTGATTAGTAAGAACATTGTCTCTAAATGAATTACAAATAAGTTAAAAACACAGTGCGTTTAATGGTTTTAGACATTCATAGCTGCAAAAAAAAGGATTTGTAGCTCAACAGCTTTCATAACTTCACGTTCACTTACTCCCACGAATTGAAATTCCTCTTCCAAAGCTGTATGAGCCCAGAGAGTATTCGAAGTGTGAGGAGCACTTTTATTACTACTCGCAGCCGTAAATAGCTCATTCAATACATTCGGGTCTAAATCACACTCAGGCTTCGAACTACCGTGAACTTTCAAGTTTTTTAAGTTCCTCCACAAAACTTTGGAAGGAAGTGACGGGTCCAATTTAGCGCTACAGTATGCGATCTTTGTTTGCTTAATAAATGATGTAGCTTTATTTCTAGCTGTTTTATATTGAGACCAGGCGAAATCAGTCTTTGTCCTTCTCCATTTGACGTATAGCTTATAGCGAAATTTTATAGCAGAGTCTACTTTTTTATTAAACCAAGGGCAAGATGGATTGACTGCCCGAGCCACACGGAGAAGAACATGACTATCAAATATTTTAGTCAGAATTTGATTAAGAAAAAGAAGCTTATCATCGACAGAATTACAGAACCAACAGTCATTCCAACTCACACTTGACAGACTTTGATATAACTCATTCACATTTATGGCTTTAAAATCACAATACAGGAATGTACTTCTAACAGACGGACGATTAAACATAAGATCTACTGTACAAAATATTAAATCATGGTCAGAAATAAAGAATATTTGGTCGAATTTGAGAATATGTTTCAGACTTGAAGAGATAAAATAATCTAAGAGGTTAGGGTTTAAATTATTGGCAAATCTCGTCGGTGCAGTTTTGTTGACTATGGCAAGACCAGCCGCAGCTACGTGGTTATATAATTTATTAGCGTAAATTTCATTTAGGAGGAGGTTCACATTAAAATCACCACAGATTAAATAAAATTCATAGTCAAGTAGAAACATAGACAGTTCAACAAAAAAAGGGTCCAACAAACAACACTTACACTTATATACGCACGACACTAAAATGCTTGTTACACCATCAGAAACCTCAGCTATAATGAACTCAGTATTTGAGTTATGAGATTCGGCCAGAAGACATACTTTTAAAGATGATTTGCAATAAATTGCAACACCTCCCCCTCTTTGGGTACCGCGGTCATGGCGAAGAAGATTGTAGCTCGGAATACTGCAGAAGAAGTCTGAAACAGTGGGGATAAACCAATTTTCAGTAACACAAATTACGTCAACAAAGGATCCCTCAAAGACATACTTAACGTAGTCTAGTTTGTCGCCACTAAGGCTTCGCGCATTAAAATGCAGCACATTAAGGCCCATCGACTGCTTACATAAAATGTCTAATAACATCTTATGGTTTCCACCAACACTGGAGGCGCTTTTGTTTGCTGGGTTTACTATCATTGAACTAATACGAAGAGAGACAACTACAAGTACATGTATATATAAATTTAAAATGCAAATGAGTACGATTGTAATATTTCATAAGACAGAGAGATTTTCGACAGCACACATGAATAAAAAGACAATAAGAGATTGAAAAGAGGGAAGATATTAACCTAAGTGTAAACATACGAATAAATAATAACGAAGTCAGTCGTCCACAGAGTAGTCATGTGCCTTTAGAAACAACGCGTTCAACTTCTTTGTTGGCAACTTTTATTGCTTCACCTTTTGGTTGAACTCTCACATTAATATTACCGCGAATAGAGAAGGTAGATGATAAACGCTTCCGCTTCTTAAGCTGCAAAGTAAATTGAAGGAGTTCATGGTTAATATTGGTGAGGCCTTCGTGAACATATATGCGCTCATCAGTATGACGGCCAATGTCACGCAATATTATTCCCCTCTTCTTCAGCTTGAAAAATTTCGCCAGCGCCATAAATATTAGTGATCGATCACCCGAGGAGACAAGCTTTACTATAATGGGCGAACTTTTGCTATTATTTTTGCGTACACGACAGACAGCACGAATGGGGGGAGTATTCACTTGAACAGCCTTGCAGATGTCGTTGAACACATCGCTCAGATGTTCATCATACATTTGAGGTATGCGATTAATTATAATATCGTTAGCAACGGAGGAATTTTCATATTCTCTGATGCTTGACCGCAATAGCTGCACTTCTTTCCTAAGTTCGTCCACATGTGCACACTCCCGCTCAGTTTTAGCTACCCGGTCTTCCAGCTATGTCATTCTCATCTTCACAGTTTGGATGTCAGCAGCCATCTCACTGAGTGTCTGCATCATTCTCTCTTCGAACTCTTTCATACGTGCCGTCAGCTGACTCATCATACTCCCATCTTCTCCTCAATTCGTAGGAGCCATGCAGAAGGCAGACTATCAGAAACTTTCGCCTTATATAATACAGCTGGAGTCTTTGAAGGCGATTGGTGTACGATACGTATGTTTCGTGTTCTTGTGCCCATATTCGCAGAAAAGTTTATCTCCAGCAAGTTAACTTCCATAGACAACGAAACTCACAGATAGATGGCGCTCAAAAAAGTATAAGTGGAACAGCGGATACAAAAAGCAGCTGATAAGAGAACAGCTGATGAAAGCACAGTGCAAGAAAATGTAGTAACAGGCACGTTGAGGTGTTATTGTTTTTGCAGTGTTATTGTTTTTGGAGATTTGTGTGTTTATTGTTTTTAATGATTTGTGTGTTTATGTTTTACCTCTTTTTTCTTCTTGTTTTAGTTAAAATCAATAATTTATCACAAAGAGAATGTTTTTGTCACTTTCTGCAATCGCTTGATCTATGCGTTCACACTCGACAAGGTTTGAGATATTATATTAAATTGAATACAGCAAAAATGCGCGATATTCACCAATAGCAAACGGAGCAGCGATAACACACGCCCGCCCTCCACAATCGTTAACTTATTTTCATCGCTATATTTACCGATTTTGTTATCGATATTATTATTGATTTTTTTTATCGATTATATTTATCGATCTTGTTATCGATATTTGTTTTCGAATTTGGTATCGATATTTTTATCAATTTTGTTATCAATTACTTATCGATTTTGTTAAAGAATTTTTATTGACTTTGTTATCGATATTTTTATCGATTTTGTTATCGATATTATTTAGCGATTGTATTTAGTTGTCGATATTTTTATCGATATTATTTATCCATCCAAGCATTTGCGAGAAAAAAATATATGCAACCATCGTCGATTGGTCACGATTGGTCACTTATTTTTATCGTGTGGTCATAAGCTGTTTTTTTTTTTAAATTGAATTTTCAAAATAAGGGTTGAAAATTGCATGTGCTATGTACATATGTGTCGGCCGCTGTGGTGTAGTGGTAAGCAGTGCGCGCTTCCACTCCGCATCACCTGGGTTCAAACCCAGGTCAAAGCAACATCGCAAAAAATATAGAAAAAACGTTTTTTCCTAACAGCGGTCGTCCCACGGCAGGCAATGGCAAACCTCCGAGTGTTTTTCTGCCATGAAAAACAGCTTCTCATAAAAACACAATCGCCGTTCGGAGTCGGCGTAAAACTGTAGGTCCCTCCGATTTGTGTTACAACATTAAGGCGCACGCCACAATTCGGAGGAGAAGCTCGGCCAAACACTAACATATGTGTAAGCGCCAATCTATTATTTATTATTATTATTATTATTATGTACATATGTAGATATGTGTTAGGGATGTACATTTTCCGATTTTTAAGATCCCAGGATTTTTGGGGTCTCGTTATTACAATCCTGGGTCCTGGGATTAGTCCCAGGAGTTAGATATTCATTATTTTTCCACAAATTAACTCGAAAAAAATTGCATCAATATTGTTTGCGAAGCTCTCACACCATTTAATAAATAATAAAAAAGCGGGGTTTGAATATTTTTTTTTTAAATTTTTGGGAAAATGTTCCAATACGGAACCCGGCTTTAAAAAAAATTAAGGGGTTTAGAGCGGCTTTTTGTGATTGTAAATCTGAAACCTGAAATCTGAATTTTTAATAAAAAATCGCGCGATGCGGCGCTTCTCCCATAAAAATCAATACTTCGATAAATAACTAAGTTAACAGTTTTGTTACAAAATCTCTCGATTTTAGACTGA